TTGAAGAGAGCGTGGGACTTAGTTGATGGATTTTTATTTATTATTTATTTTTGTGGGGAAAGATTCCCCAATGACAATGAAGAACAGGCTTGGGCCACACTCTTTTTGGCCCCCTATTTTCAGCTAAGAACAGTAGTACCTGGATGTGTGCTTGCTAGTTTGGCAAATCATTTTGCATATTATTTTCATAACTGAGATCATTCTGTTATTTATTCAGCTCTTGAAAGGGTGCTGTTTTGCATAAGACTTAAAATAACTACCACCAGAAAATTAGAATGAGGGAAATAAAGATTTGGGAGATTCGTTTAGTTTCCATTTTACCTTCAGTTTCCAGCTCTTTTATTATTTAGCCAGTTGTGTTTTCAAATTGGGCCGCTCAGTTTAGCAGTCTTTCAAACAAAGACCCACATACTTTGAGGGGAGTTTTCTCTTTTAAATGAAAAGTTGGGATGGGTTCACACCATGCAGCTGCCTACCTGGGTATTTGTAGCCTCTGAGAAGGATTGTTGTATTGCAAAACTTTAAAAAGGTTTGTGGCAACCTAATCACCCTCACTGAAAATCTATTTTATCCTGTGCAAGATCAGAATGCTATTTTTGGAAACTTTATTACTGAAAATGAGCCCTCTGACTTATTTAATAACATTAAGTCCTTATTATCAAATGATAAATTATGTTAAAGCACTCATTATCTTGATTTATTTCTTTTTCCTTTATTGCAATTGTAGCTTTTTTTTGTACCCCCATCTCAGATAGATAAAGGTATTTTAGGAACTGTCTTAATTATTATAAACTGCAAAAACAGGCTGGATGGAAAATTGAAGATAAGGGGCTAGGAAGTTGTCAAGATTTAAGTTGGTTTTGCTTTTCACAGAAACACCTCGGGGGAAAAACTAGCATGATAGAAAAATAGGGTGGCGGGATTTTTGTAAGGATTGCTTCCTTCCAAATGCCACACATTCGTCTTCTGCAGGGGTGCAGAGTTCGGTTGTTCTTGGAAGCATGGGGTAACTCTTAAGGAGTTGCTGATAAAATGCTTTGTAATAAGTTTGGTAGTGCTGTCGACTCTTTAACTCAGCTGAGCATTTTCCTGTTGTCGCAGATCCCTTGGGTTTTTCCCTATAGCAATTTCTTTCCCGATCTTTGATAAAAGATTACCCATACTCAATAAGTATCTATTGCGACTCGTCAGGTAGCAGCATCTAGCTGACCTTGGCCGATCTAGGAAGCTGAGAGTTTAGTTCTTGGATGTGAGTCAACAAGCAAATGCAAGCGGCTTAGGCTGCAGAGAAAAGTGGGATTTCTTCTCTACCGAGCATAAATCTGTAGTAGGCTAGAACAGAAGGAGATCTGTGGTCTTTGGCAGCCACCAAAAGGATAATAAAAGAGGATCATAAAGGCCTGTACTGCTCTACTGGCTGTTTTCAAAACAATAGTCCAAGATTTTTGTTCTACTCGCCCATCAAATGTTTTCCCATTACAGGTAGTCCTTGACTTAACGACCACAATTGAGCCCAACATTTCTGTTGCTAAGCAAGACAGTCGTTGAGTGAGTTTTGCACCATTTTGCCCCCTTGCTTGCCCCAATTGTTAAGTGGACCACTGCGACTGTTCAGTTAGTAACACGGTTGTTGAAGATTCTCCGTTGACTGCTTGTCAAAAGATCACAAAAGGGATTCAAGTGAACCTGGGACACTGCAACCGTCATAAATATAAGTCAATTGCCAAGCGTCTGGATTTTGATCATGTGACCCTGGGGATGCTGCAGTGGTCAAAGTGTGAAAAAATGGTCATGAGTCACTTTTTCCGGTGCCATTGTAACTTCGAACAGTCACTAAACAGATGGTTGTAAGTCAGGGACTACCAGTATAGACAACCCATTGCCAGTTGAGTCATCGTTCAGAGATAGTTCCGGACCTAAAGAGAGAAATAGAATGACCACGGGCATGCACAGTAACAGTGGGTGCAGGAGCAAATTCTGACTTCCTGCAGGCTTCCCCATTGACTTTCTTTATAGGAAGCTGCAGGGAGCCTTGGAACTGAGAGTCACGTGACAGCAGGCTGACCACGGCGACACAGCAGTGGCCACCATTTTTTGATTTCAAGAATAATGCCTGCAAAGTGTCCCCAGTTTTCCATTTCTATTTTGTACCCGTGGCCTTTTCCTGCCATTCCATAAACCATGAGTGCTTTTATGCACTGAATCACAGGGGATTCCCAGCAGGATAAATAATCATTTATTTTAAGGAAGGATATTTGCATCGCAGCTCTTAAAAACGTTGCTGTAATTGCTGTTCTTGTAGAAACAGGGCACAGTGTCCTTTTGTTTTGGCAGTGTCATGCAAACTAGCAAGCCAGTGTGTAACCGTTAGCTAGAAGGAATGTCAATGGTTCATGTGGTCACATCACATCCTGAAAAATATTACCTTGTACCGTCATATGTAAAAGGAGAGCAAGGAAAAAGGAAATAATGCTCGTAAAGCGCTGAGAAACAGGACTTGGTTCCTAAAGACATTTTGGAAATATTCTTTCCTGGGGATAATTTTGGTAGACCTTTGAAAAATTGAGTAAGGCTGTAAAGGTTATTCACATTTTTTTAAAAAAACGACCACAAATTGACTCTGGTATATATTGCACTGTACACGTGGCTGATTGAAAGGAGAAAGAAAATCAGAATGAACAAAAATTGGTAACTGTAATATGCATGGGGTTCTCTAGAAATCCAAGATTTAAAAAATGACTGGAAAACAAGCCCCTCTAGTCGTTTTGAATCTGATTAATCTGATTTCCAAATCTTTGGATCTTCAGTCATAGACAGTTCCCTCACATTATAAATTTTGCCTCCTATATTTTAAAACAAGCAATTAGTTCAGTTAGATTATTCCCTTTGCTTGCTTCCAGTGGCGATGGAGAATTGCTGTGCAGAAAACATTTATCCATCTCACGCTTTCTTAAGTTTGAGGAAGGAATGAGCTAAAGCAGATATTCAGAGTTCACCCTGATGCATATTAGAAATCAAATTTTGATTGTTTAAGATTTTTTAAAAAAAAATTTAAAGATTTGGTTCTTATTTATTGGCATCTGTCAAGTATTTTGCTTTAGGCAAACTGTCCAATGCAAAATACACTTGCATGCTGCTGGTCAAATTGTCAGGTAGATGTTGCAGCCTTGCTGAGGTTAAGCCATCCTTGTCCCAAAGGTGCTTTTTCCAAAGGGAACTGGACTTTGTTTTTTCCTTGAAAATGTTTTGTTTCTCATCCAAGAAGCTTCTTCAGTTCTGACTGAATGGTGGAAGATGGAAGGATTTATATTTCTTGCAGTCATCTGGTCATTAGCTCTCTTCCTGAGAGTCATTGAGGCCACTTGGAGGTTTAACTGTGCCCTCAGGGTCACCTAAATAGTGTAAATGGGTGTGGAACCTTCTTGGAACTGCTGAAAGGACTGTGTTGTAAACAGGATATAGGTGCTGTCATATCCCCCTCCCTTTGTTGAGAGAGAGCTGTTTCATTTTGACATAGATGGCCTCTTTGACCTCTCTTTCAAACCAGCGGTCCTCTCTGTCCAGAATGTGGATTTTGCTGTCTTCAAAAGAGTGACCTTTGTCTTTCAATAGACATTAAGCCATCCTTGCACGATTGACCAGCAAACGAGAAATTATTTGAAGCTCCTGGTATAGCATCTCCTGGACTTCCATCATGGAATAAATCCATGTCTCGATATCCAATGTTCTGTGAATATTCAGCAAGAATTAAACAGTCATCAAGTATTCAGTATTCAGTGTCACTTTTCAAACGAAAAACTCTATCTAGGAATAAACTGAATGCGCAGATTTTCTTAGTCTTTAAGTCTCCTTCACTCTCACAATGTTACGTTTCTCTGTTTCTTAAATATTTTCCCCATGTACTGGTTGCTTTAACAGTTGTCTCTATCTTTTACGTAATCAAAATTCTGTGGTTCAATTTTTAGTATATTACCAAGTTAGTTTTTCCAATAGGGATAGGATAATCTCAAGTTCATCATCTCCTCACTGGCTGACCGTTTTTAGGCCTTTGTCTTATAAGGGTTTGAGTTACATAATGTGTAAAATTTTAGCTGCCTAATGCAATTTTGTATATATGTTTTTTTTTAAAAAAATTGTAGCTTGTTGAACTTCAAAATATATGTATGGAAACAAGCACAATGTTTCATTCTTTACATTAAATGATTACATTGTGCATGACTAACCTATCTTTGAGATACTTCTATTGATTACATCCATGGTTCTCAACCTTTTCTTCATACAGACCCCTTTAAATACCTTTTGTGGCCACGGACCCCCAAGACTTAACTCAAGATTTAAATCATAACATTTTTTCAAATGTTTTTCAAATTTTCCAGGGGTCCATGCACCACAGGTTGAAAACCACTGGATTACATCAAGAAGTTTTCAAACATCCGAGACTTGTGTTTCGGTCAACAATGAAAGCTCCTGCATAACCCCATTTTTAATTGTTTTCCTACTTCCTACTTATGGTATTGATTTGCCCAGCAGCATGTCCTTTTCTGTAGCTGGTCTGTACATTGGTTGACTGGCTTGTGAACATGGATTTCCCCTTTTCTCAAGGTAAGGTTGGTGATGAGCAGCCTAAACAGCAGAATCTCTGATATTTGCATCCGTAGAGTTTCAGAGTAGGTCAGTAACACCCAAATTTAGACTCATTCAGCCACAGCGCGAGAGTGTCCTCAAATCAACCCTTGTGTGTCAGTCTTTGCACATCACAAAGTTCTGGTTGAGAATTAAGTGGGATGACTAGTAAGTAGGGAAGACCATAGAAGCAGCTCAAAACACTTTGGCAGAAAACTAGGGTACAGGTGTAATCATAGTTCTTGGAAGAAGACCAGTGTTGATCAGAAATAATCTGCCATCAATTCAGAACGTCGTTTGGCTTCCTTTGTTGACCGTAAGAGACTTCAGTATCTATTTCCTCTCATTATTGTGTGTGTTGTGTTCTTTCTCCACAGTGCCCTTAAAGATAGCAGGTTTCCCCCGATGACGAGGGATGAACTGCCGCGGCTTTTCTGCTCAGTGTCTCTGCTTACTAATTTTGAAGATGTTTGTGATTATTTGGATTGGGAGGTAAGGAACCTCTTTAACTTTTGCCTATTTCATGGAGTGACATTTCTCCATTCTGGTTACTGATTTCTATAGTCTGGAGCAGTGTTTCTCAACCTTGACCATTTTAAGGCATGTGGACTTCAGCTCCCAGAATTCCACAGCCAGCGTTGCTGGCTGTGGAATTCTGGGAGTTGAAGTCCACATGCCTTAAAATGGTCAAGGTTGAGAAACACTGCTCTAGAAATTGGTCTGAAACCTTGTTTCCAGTGAAAATGATCTCCAGAAGAACCAGACCATTAATGTCCAACGTCCAACCCAAAACTTGCCTCTTCTGCATCCGATGAACGTGTGATCACATTTTGATTTTCCTGTTGGCCACCCTTATTCGTTACTTTAGATTGCCCCAGTGAAAAAAATGAATTTTCAGTAGTGAATTCAGATTCGCGCTAGACTGCCAGGAGGAAGGGACATGAAATGGAACATTTATATGTATTAAAAACAAAAGTTTATGGGTTTTTTTTTTAAAAAAAAGGAACATAAAGATTCTAGACCAGCCTACTCACATATCTGCTATTTTATGCCAAGTGGGATATTTTTTTTCCCCCCATGAGAAATGGTGCAAGTCTGAACACAGACTTAACATTTCCCTGCAAGTAAAGTTTTAAAATAAACTTAGGTTGAATGAAACCGAAAAGAACCACGTAGCAAACTACTTTATCACTCCCATTTTCAACTCTGTTTGGAGCATAGCATAGTAGCTCCCACATGCTCATTTAGTTATTAAAAACCCTACTTGATGCTTTACAAATCTGAAAAATTTGCAGAGCAAAAGGAATTCTCAAAAACTATCCTCGCCAACAACAGGCATCTTAGTAATTTGCCTGTTTGCAACAGGCATCTTAGTAATTTCAACAATAGCGGGCATGTGACCATCCCAGAGTGCCACTCAAATTCCAGCATTCTACCTTGATCTCCATCACATAAGCTCTAAAGCAGAGCTATGGAGGTTTTGCAAGTGTGTGGACGTTTGATGTTTCCTCGTCAAACTGGTTTCAGAACTGTAGCGATCTGCCTTCACTTATAAGTTTGTACACGTGAGGACACTCTCCACAAAGGTCAGCTGAGCAAGAGTAGTTAGAATTGTAAAAGACCAGAGAAGTGTAGCCTTCACAAATCATTCCAAGTGGCATGAACAGCTAGTTGTCTAAGTCTCAATACCAAATGTCCTCAACCAGGACCTTTCAAGATTTGATGGAATTGGCAAACAAGTTTTATTCCATCCAGTATCCTTTAGAGCAGGGGTCCCCAACCTTAGCAACTTTCAGACCTGTGGACTTCAACTCCATGCTGGCTGGGGGATTCTGGGAGTTGAAGTCCACAGGTCTGAAAGTTGCCAAGGTTGGGGACCCCTGCTCTAGAAATTTGTGTGGGGCTAAATCTCAAAGACTATTTGGCCACCGTAGCCTGCCTTACACAACAGGGTTGGAACAACATCTGTCAAAGTTCCCAGATAGCACAAACATATTAGTTAAGTGCCCCAGAACTCAGCATTTTAGCAACTTGAGGAGGTTGAGAGTGATAGCATTAGGACACCATAAGTACTAGATTTTTTTTTGTTTATTTGTTTGCTTGTTTGTTGTTTAAAAAAGACAGAAGGAAACATTGGACTGTGCCCACAATAGAAGTAGATCTCTCTCTTCTCTTTTTAAGCTGCTGTAGTAGAATATACTACAGGATTTTTTTTCAGAGCTGGCAAATAATCACCCTCATAGCATTTTGCATGCAACTCTGTGAATTGGCTGCTCAGTCTGAATAACTCCTTACTCATGAATGGCCATTTGCTTGGTTTCTGAATCAGAATACGTCTAAGTCTAATACATCTAGAGCAGGGGTAGGCAACCTTAGCTCTTTTATGACTCGTGGACTTCAACTTCCAGAATTCCTGAGCCAGCATGAAGGAAACTTTGGTCCCTTCGTGACTCGTGGACTTCAACTTCCAGAATTCCTAAGCCAGCCATGCTGAAGGGAAAGGGAGAGGTTTCCAAGCTGAGCCATGCTGGCTCAGGAATTCTGGGAGTTGAAGTCCACAGTCCTAAAAGAGCCAAGGCTGCCTACCCCTGATCTAGAGATTATTTTAAACCCCCAGTCTGGTTACAGGAAATGCTAAGGAACTTCTCTTGGTGTTAGCTATGTCCCCTAATATTTGATAGTCATCGCATTGTGAATGATACAATGCAACGTGCTGTGAAGAGTGTTGCCTTTGCAAAACTGCATGCCTGAGGTATCCAAATACTCACAATGTGGCTTCAGGTCTGTCCAACATAGCTTTTCTCTCTGGGAATGTAGGGCTTAAATAAATAGAAGAGTATAAATTTAAGTCCAGCTCCTTGTGTGCAAAATCTAGGACTTCTCCATTCCATCGCCAACTGTCTATATGATGTATAACTCAGCAGCTGAATATCTCCTCGACACAGCAAAGGCCCATAGGTATTTATAGATGGCTGTGTAACAGACCCAGAAAGGAGTAGTAGCCTTTTTATATATTTATAATTCTAATGGTAGTTGACTGAACTATTTTTTGTTTGTTTTTGTTTTGTTTAGAGCACTTGCTTTTGGGGGGAAAATGTTTCTCTGGATTAAATCCTTGATATTCTCAATAAAGGGGGGGGAGGGAGAATTGACTATCCCATTGGGAACCTTGGGGTAAAACTACACATTACTTCCAATTGCAAAATAATAAAGCACTTTCCTTTAGCACCCACAGAAAACGTGATCCCCTTTTCTGCCCTACAAGCTTATTTCTCATTTTGAAACCCTGATATGGGGGTGGTGGAAACAAAACAAAAGAATACTTCCTGGGAAGAAAGGGGTACTAATGGGGCGTGAGTGGTACTTGAACATTGAGGTTGGGAACATGACAGCGTCTTCATTTGGCCTAGTTTTGTTGGATTTTTTTTAAAAAATGGAACACTAGATCTTGCAGGTTCACCATCAGTAGAATAATGGCATCATTTTTCCTCGCATATTGTTGATTAGAAATAAAAGCTAGATAACATCAGCAGAGAAGCTACTTGTCCTCACCCAGCAGTTCCAATTAAGACATCACCTTTGCTTAATTCTGCGTTCCTTGCCACTGCAAGAAAATAATGCAGAACTTAGAAGACCATTTTTGGTGGGTCCTTGATGCTCTCTGAGCTTGCTTGTTTTGGCACTGATGATATTACCTAGTTGGGCAAGGAGAAATCTGCAAGAAAACAACCAAGCTCAGAGAGCACCTCATGATGTTACCTAGTTGGGTCATGAAACGTCTGTCTCCCCCCCCCCAAAAAAATAAATAAATCCCAACCACACTCAGAGAGCACCAAGGACCCCGCAGTTCAACCCTGGGCTACAAATATTCTCTTCTGCCAATGCCATTTTTTTTTTTAGTAATTAAAGCTGGGGAGCTGAGACAGGAACCAAGCTGAGTCGTCATCTTCTCACTGTCCCAGGGGGATACATCATTTTTAAAGCCTTGGTTTTCTAAATGAGAATTTAGGCTTTCAGTTTGACTTGGAAGGGTACTTTCCATATATATATATATATTTCCCATTACCTTTATCTCATGGCTCCTTAGATCGCCTTAGACAGGCGAGTAAGATTTTATTGAAATGTTGGATCCTTAAAAGAATAATGCGTCACTGTATTTGGCCCCTTACAGTGAGACCGCTTATGTCATCCGTGTTTCTTTTAAGGGAGACGGCAGTTATGCAATGTGAATGGCAAAAAGTCATTTCAAGATGGCTAGAATATGACCTAAAGAGAGAATGTGGTTCTTCCACCTGGTATAACTGCTCATTTCCAGATCATCCCGAAAAGGCCATCCGCCCGGTTAGGAGACCTTACTTCTGTAGGTAGGCTATTGATGATCTTGTGGGAGCTAATCCAGCAATTTGCTAACGAATGCCAAATCAAAGCCTTTCCAAATTCCAAACGTTCTCCAGAGCCCGCCGTGCTCCGGCGGTTGCTCAGCCTGATCTTGCTGGGGGAGGAGGGGATACCCGCGGTCTTCTGCTCAAGGGTCTCTCAGCTGGCTCCGAGTGGTCTTTTTCTCCCAAGGAGAAGGAATTTCGAAGAGAGGGACGAGTGAATTGGCTGCCATTAGCTCCCACCTGGTTTTTCAAATTGCTGCCATTTTTTTTTCACCTGTTGTTGAAGTATACTTTGCACGTTTCTCTAGCCACTTGCCCCGAGGGTCGCCTGGGATCGTAGCGTGCAAACGCAGGCCTTCCATTTTGTCCATTCATCCTTCCATTAGCATGGCTCTGTGTGACTTGCTCTGCTCATCAGCTTACGCTGCCTGGGGCTTTTTTATAAGGACAGGGGGCACATGGTTGACTCCTCTAGCAAGAATTCCCCAGGACTTGTCTCACACACTTTGTCAGGGTGCATATAGAGGAGGCTCATGGCAGATGAAAGTGGCAGTGATCCATAGAAGGCATAATTTTGACCTCCCCTCTGTATCTAAGCCAGGGGTCTTCAAACTTGGCCCTTTTATGACTTGTGGACTTCAACTCCCAGAATTCCTCAGCCAGTGTGCCTGGCTGAGGAATTCTGGGAGTTGAAGTCCACAAGTCATTAATGGGCCCAAGTTCGAAGACCCCTGATCTAAGCACTTTTCGTTGGCCGTTGCATTGCACACATTTTCCATGCACAAGACCCTGAGTTGAGTTACCAGAGCAACTAGCATCTCCAAACACATCTGAAATCTTGGAAAGCCACCCACAGCTTGTTTAGACAGAATCAAGCCACTACATGTATTTGCTTTCTTTCTGTAGGTCGTTTTTCAGCTACTGCAACTATATATTTTTGAATCAGCTGCTATTTTTCTCCAGATGACCTTGTCTCAGAGAACGGGGCTGTTTTCCGTAGAGCCAAATGTTGACCTTGTACATTTCCATAGGGAATAGCATCCATAGGGACCCCTCTCTGATTTTCTTCCTTTTTCCTGAGGGTACAAAATGTCAGTTTCCCCCCAGTAG